AGAGTGGTAATAAAACACTTCTTCTTGCTTTACACCTGGTGTTACGTGCCGGGAGGATAAATTCAGCGAGTACGACTCGACGACATCACATTCACTTCTCATCTCAAAATAAGTATTGAAGAATAATCTGTGAGCCAAAATTACTATCTTTTGGAATCCTCAACTTTTTATGGTACTCTGAAGATGACACATTCCCAAATTTAGAATCTAACTAGAACAGGCGGACAGAAATATTATGCGCAGTCTAAACTGGTCCATGTGCTTGTGACATTTGTCAGAAAAGGATTATTTTGAAAACAGAATTAGAATTTTTCAACAACAGATACCTGTCCAGCTTGCTACACTTTACAGTTGCACAGACAGAATAAGTGCTTCCTAGTAGAATTCTACTAAGACCACCTAAAAGATATACAGGGATGAAAAATAACCAAAAGAAGATAAATAAAAGTTCTAAACTTCAAACAAGATGGTTAGCAGATATATCAACGATACGCTCAACCATTTTACTGAACACCTGTTTGATCCAAGTCTAGGAATATTTAGCAGAACTCTGACTCCTGGTTTCAGTCCATGTGCTTACAACTCTTTTCAGTCACCTCCCTACTAAGCAGCAACTTATGTTTTTTGAACTCCGGGATGACACTAAGTTAGTTTACCTCAACGCTGATTCTACACCACAAAAATTTACATCTAGAAAAAACTTCTAGGTAAAATTCACCATATCACAAAGAAGAGATTCAACTTTCCTAGATATAAAAAAATAAATCACCACGTAAATATGCAATATTTCAGTGTAAAGCGTCAATAACTATCCCGTGTTAAACATTTTAATTGTAAGAAACACAACAAACAGTAAGTAAGCCTGGAGAAATTAATCAGTAGAACTATCGTCACCACCCCTGCATATTAGGAGACTTATGAGTTTGCTTGTCAAAACTTTTGACTGTTACCATGCTGGCTTATAAAAAACATCTATAAGTGAATAAATAAATATTTTCTACCTAGATTTACTAAAACCTGAGTCAAAATTTATTTTCCCTGCTGATAATTTTTCAAAAGAATAATGTGTTTTTGACACCACAGGTTTCTCTACCAACGAATAACAATCTGATTGTTTTATAATAACAGAGTTCATTATACAGAATCACTTATCCTTTAAAACAATATTATACTGGTTTCTACGTATTGAATACTTATTGTATACTGTGTTCACATACAGTGTTACTTTTCAACTTACCAATGTGGAATTAATCGCATTGTATTTTAAATGAAGTTACATGTAGGAGAAATTTGTTTCTGTAGATTATTCTCTTATTTAGGAATTGTAGAATAACTAATCGTCATGAAAAAGTTGATTAATTACATCTTTTTTAAAATTAAATAGTCTCACTTTGTAACAAAACAGTTTTACATTTCATTGGGAACACTAACTGTAAATAAGTTTAGGATTTCGTTTTGCTTGAATCCTTCGCAGTAAAACAAAGTGATACCCAGATGGGAACTGTAAAATGTCCCAAGAACTAAGTAGTCGAGATAACGTGTCCGTTATATGTTTAATTCTGCGACAACGCAGTGTGTTTTATATAAAATATTTTCAGTAAGCAGAAGACACTACCGTGTGTGCTTCTTACTTGTCAGTAATTGTGACGAAGGCTTTTTGTGAGCTCTAAGGATGCGGTTGCTTTGTCGAAGTGTCAAAAATGTTTTATTCATAAATAGTCATCAAATTCTTTCCGTTACTCAGGTACAGCATACTTTAGACCTAGTAAAGGACTACTTTCATTCAAAATGTCTTTCTATTCAATGGATAGAAGTCAACTATTAACCAAAGAGGACATAAACATTTATGATGAGATGAAATTTTGCAGAAGAATATCAAAGCCTGTTAGAGAGGATGTTTTATCACCGATAAATATTAGCTTTAGAGCCACTGGAAAATGCACTAATTACCAGTCTGTACCTAGCCCGAGACTATAAGGAAGTGTAAACTAATAACCGAAGATATAATGAATACAGAACCATCAAACATAGTGACTATCGCCTTGCAATTAAGTAAAAGGGTTGAGCCGTGTTTTTTGACCCATCTTAGTTCACAATTTGAAAATTTCATCACACAGTACTATCAGTAAGCATTATTTTCTTATATTTGACCCAAAAGGCTGCGGGTTCACATTATAACCCTCAATGGGCAGTGATGAAAATTTTCTGGCCAAACTTATTTGAGAGCCAACTTTCCCTAAAATAGTAAATCAGTCATTGCATACAAAAAAATAACTGTTGAGTTGTAAACTACCTAATGTGCATTCAAGTGCTACTGTTCACTAATTCATCCTTTAGGTGCAGTTTTAAATAACAGACAGTAACAAGTACAACATATTGTATACATTTTTACATGACACTCATAAGTTAACCAAACACGCGAGTGAAACTTTTGAAGTGAAATTAACTTGTGTGTGACGTCAAGTTTTTGAATGAATGAGCTCCCTTAAAATTCAAAACACTCAGATAGTTTAAAAGAACATCCTTCTATGTGTCATCACTACCATAATCATATAAAAGGTACACAGAATTTCACACTGACTATAGTTTCGAGCAAAAAATACACAACCCGAAGCTTTGTAAACCGTACATTAATAACCTGCACAATCCGAAATGCAATGAAACCTAAAAACATATCAAATAAGTGCGAGAATAGATGCAACAATACACAAAAGACATAAAGGAGTGCCGATTTCAATGTTAATTACTTGGATTCCTAGTTTACTTAGTTTTATTGCTTTTATGAAGCTTAGCTAAGAAACCTGTACTTACCGTTCCTTTCAGTTACTTTAAAGTCCACCATCACAGCTGTGCCTAAGGTTTGTGCTATGTAGTCTCACATCGAAGTTTGTAATACTTGGTCAGGGTAAGTCACTATCTGGAGTTCAGTAAGCCGTATTATCAGAAGTTATAAAGTGCCAAATTTTCAATGATTATTATACGTATACACATATTACTTTAACTAAGTACCAGATATCTAAGGAAACTTCGCCATTTTTATTCATAGTTCTCATTCACTACATTTCTCACCGTCACCAACTTTTTATAATAGTCAAGAATTTCATGTTTATACATATATATATGTTCACGTAACGAGTTTTTCTAGCACTAAAAGGTTTTCGGTCTCATAATCTTAAATATATTATATAAATGTATTATTCACTTACGCAAGCAGAAAACACACGGTTAGTTCTACGTCATTACTAAATGATATTCTTATTTATCTTTTATCATCAAGTTATGTTTAACTGCATAAGTGAATATTTTCATAAATCAGAAGATGGTATTTTATAAAACTGAAGCTAAAAGGCTACATGAACTATTTCTCCCCCAATGCCTTGGATCTAAGCTTCACTGCTCCTATTTGAAACACGAAATTTAAGTTCATCTATCCTTTCTAAGTGGTTAACAAGAACGCCTTTTGTAACATATGGTTAATATTTGAAATAGCAGTGCCCCTATACTACATCACTAAAACCGCGTCAAAACATCATGAAGAGTGGTGATTTTGTATGAAAAGTGCACTTACTGAAAGTTAGAACAACTATCAAATGCAAAGTGACATACTAAATTTTTACAACTACGTGGTTTGATTTTTTTTAACTGCTTATTCACCTATTCATGATAAGAAGAACTAACTCAAGCAGAGTGTTCACTGAGAATAAAGGGTAGTTTATTTATGCTTAAAAGTAGTTGGAATAGCCCTTCATGCAGCTGACAGTTTAAGTGCTATGGTGCTTGGAATATCTTTACGAGGGTGGCATAGATTAACACTCACATAAAAATAGGTCATTTTCAATAAGCAGAAATTTTTTTTGCATGATACACTATAGTATTATCAAGGTGTTTTTACTCGATCAGTCATGAAAATAAAAAATTAGAACGATACAACTGAAATCATTAGAAGTGTAAAATACTGCTGACAGTTGCATTACAAATTTAACACAGTAGCTTAAAGCAGCCTCCAAAGCAGTTGACTTTCTCACTGGGAATGAAGTCACAGGTCTAACTTATGCTACGAATTGACCATAACCAAAGTGGCTGTTTATTCACAAGTGGTCTCTTAAAAACGGAGCTAAATATGGAAATATCCCGTTAAGTTGTCTCTACTGAAATTTGAAACACTTTTAAAGAAATAGCATACAAACAACTGCATCTCTAAACAGTGATAGTCACTGGTAACAATGTAAAAAAGTACTGGGATAGAGTTTTATGGGCTTTTGTTTGTTTGCCGCCCAAAGGTTCACTTTTACCGCACCATGAATGACTACCTGAGCACTAGTTTTGAGTCAGCAAAGCGGCGAAATAACAATGAAAGCTAAATAAGTGGTTAAGACCTCCTATCTCATCTTTCCTATTTGACAGTAGGAAATATTCAGTAGATGTCCTGAAAATTATACTCATGCTCGTTATTTTCTGATCACTGTCCTTGTCTTGAGGTGCATCATTAGTACCCCTATACAAATAATTGACAAGAATAAGAATATTTTATTCAGACCACGGAATGACTGAAAGTGAAGATTTTATAAATAATTCGTGGTATTTTCTTATTCGTGTAACACTGAGCAGATGTGACTTAACCTTCAATACGCTGCCTCTATTCTGAGATCAAGTATTGGATGCATGTTACTTTCTTTCTATGGCTAACTTTCATGACTGGCTTCATATTCGCACAAATGTCGGAAGCTTTAATGCTGGAAGAAATCTTCAGGAAAAGCAGTACAGTATGTCAGTGAAGAGACTGAAAAGTTAATTAATAACAAGAATATGTAACTGGATCACTTCTGAAGACACAATATCAGTTGTGATTAATAATGTGTAAGACGTTTTAGTACTATAAAACCAATTTTAGTTTTTATCCTATAGTCAGTGTGATACTCCTAAAATTTACTGTCAGTAGCCACCATAGTTCAGCAAAAAATATGCTATTTGAGCGACAATGCTAAATGTTTCAAACTTACGCCCGCCTGATGTATCACGATCCATTACAAGCGATAACTCCTACTCATTTTTTATTATTTTAATTAGCACATGAGCTACGGAGCAAATTATCTGACAAGTTAAAACAAACAGTATGCTACCAAGAAAAGTTCATTACATCGGTTATTGCTTGACAATAAGCTTTTACCAAAATCACTTGCTTTTATTTGATAACTGTCGAATTTTATTTGTTGTACATCAAATATTTCCATGTAACAAAGCCTCGCGAATCAACTTCATGAGATTTCTGCTTCCTGATTTCAAAACATTTGAACTAAGTCCTGAGAAATGTTTCCGAATGATTTTTTGAACATTAGGAGAAAATTTCGTTCAACTGGCTTTCACGTCTACAGTTACACGATTTTCAGTATCTGTTAACCCAGGTAGGGACAAAGAATAAATTTAAATTTTTTAATAAGACCAGGTTGTTATTTACCTAGCCTGTAAATCTACTCTGCGCCCTCAAGTGGATATACAGTACGTATTAAAGGAACTTAATAAATTGGCCTGAACGACTTCTATACAGAGAATATTTCAAACCTTAACAATTCACTTGCAGTAGAAATTATACCTACTATCTGATCTATCATTTAAACTCTAATATCTGGGCATTCTGTCTCAGACGTGAGTTAAATCTTAGGTTGAGCAGATAGCAACGGAGTTGAACTGATTTACCTAAAATGTGATTCGCCATTACTAGGACCTTATTCAGTCAAGAGAAACTGTTTATTGCGGCCATGCGTTTCACATATTGCTTAAAACTTAGCCCGTCAGTAGACCCAGTGCAACGTCTCGGGGTGCTATCTATATAGTTCTAAATGAAAAGACAATAGCCCAAGATTCACGGTTAGACATGAAAGTGCTAAACATTTGTGACCAAACTGTACAGAAACTCATCGCAAGTTCACAACCGCGGGGGATTTTGCACCGGATTGACGCAGAATGTATTCTTCCCATATTCACAGCAAGATTTAAGGTCACTGGAACCTAAGATTTCACTATCCTTTCTCACCAAAGGTAAAACCACCCGCCCGCTGTATCATCTGCATCTGTGATGCCCACCATGCTGCACATTTATCACCCGACGTTTTATAATCTACCCAACCCCAGATTTGGGTCAAGTCATCTCACAAAGTGGGCCTGGAAGCTTCGTTGCTTATTTCTCTCTGTAGCTTGGCACCATCACCGAAGACAGCGATTTCGGATGACACTCGCAAGTGCAAGTCATCTAATTAAATGGGGGACTAGAGAGGCCTTAAAACCATGCTTGAATACGATGTAACTCATTCAAAAACTAACAGAGGCGCCAAAATGATTGTGGTTTAGCCAGTAGATTAACGATGAGTCGATTTCTACATGCCGCATCTATTTCATGAAACGTTAACGGTTGACGGGATCAAAAGCCTTCGAAAAACAGGGCTAGATGACATCGATTCTGCCTCGATGGGTAGTCATGCCAGTCCTACAGTTTACTGCAGTTAGTCCATTGGTGGTTTATGGGCAATTTTACATTGCATCATGCTGGCGTTGTGCGGGGGAGTTAGGGGATATCATGTTGTCGCACAAGTCAACATGAAAAGTTCGGGCCAAAATCTACGGTTTTCATGCCAGACAACTTGCGAGTTTACGAGGAAGTGTAATGTGGTAAGATATGCGGCAAATACACAGACATACTGAGTGGTTGACAAGAGAAGGAAATATCTAATTCATCCCTTGGGTACCTAGTCGGTTGAGAACTTCCTTCTCTCAGCAAGAAAAACATTCAGTTAACTGGGTTGATGGTTGCATGTGATGGAATCTGTACACTTCTAATTTATTTCTCATGTATCCTCATTATGTCACAGACCAATTTTTCTATCTCTTTTGATGTACCCTGGAACACTACACAACTGATTTACATAAAAACGGAGATTGCTATTGATACACATCTCCTTTCTTCAACGCTAAAGTATCATCGCACTGTCGACCAAAATACAATTTGGGCCTGGTCTTAATTCAGATATAGGTGGCCGTTGTTATCACAGCAAAGGACTGCCAAACTTAACTTTTAAGGTCCAGCCCCCATATATGAATATGAGCAAGGTTTTCAAGGTTTTGATGCCACACGTAGCTGGCAATAACGAAATGAAACCAATCAGTCACTTGCGAGATAGTTGTTGACTTATGTACCAGGTTTTATGTTTACTGCGTGAGTAGACCGCATCTCACAGAATGTAAGAATTTGCAATTCGTTCACAATTTGTGTGAGACTTTCCGGTGCTTAAAATAAATTCGCGTTGGCACTTCAAGCTCCCTAAATTTACTGTCTGAGGTACGTTTTTTTGCTGTCCAGTTAATCAGTACTAGTATTTTTGTGCACTAGTACAAAGGGTGAGGATTTCAGGAAATATGCTCACCAGAGCCTTGGTATCCTTGGAAACTGTTTCACTCTTTCTTAAAACAGTCGATCCGTCATATTCATGCCAAATCCGTCATTCCGTCATCAGCAATCCTGAAAGCACTTCCTGTGCCTATTACGAAAAACAGTACTTTTCAGTCCAGCCATTTTTTGAGGACTTCACAAGTGCAACTAATGCAGTGAATCAATGGCCGACGTCAATTTTCTGTTTATTCCCCACAATCTAAACGACCCAGGCTGAAGTAAAGACCTCGGGGTAGATGCATAAGGCCTTCCCACCAAAGCTTTGGGGGACCATTCTCGGCCTTCCGAAATTCTTAAATTACTGTCTTTTACGCCGTCCTTGCTAAGGTCGTGGATCTTAAGCGGGATGGGAGTGGACTGTTCTCCAGCAAACGCCTATGAAATGGGAGAATATGCATGCCCTAAACCTTCGGAATTTGTCTAACGTCAAAACTATGGACTTAAAAACCATCGAATTTGTTGCGAGATGGGACCGTAGAAGAACTCCTCTACCAGCCTACTTTTCCCACAACAAATCAGTAAAAGTGGCATCTAGTTTCATTCTGAAGGCCACCAGCCACAAGTAACCCACGATCGGAGACGTGAGGCCGGAAGCTGAGTGTTACCTTGCTGGCAGCGGAAAGCGACTGTCTTGGGATAGGCCCCCGATGCGGTTGTCGATGCACAATGTCGAGGGGTTCCTTACTGGTTCGAGACAACTCAGCACTCTCAGGTTTCCAAATGATTTCACCCAACTTCTAGTACTGCCTTGTTTCAGTTCAGGTAAAACCTCGAGAAAATGCCAGTGGACGATTGTGCTGCACGTCTTCTACTGCCGTCAAACAGAAGCCTTAGCCCAGGAGAAACACAATGAGTGAACACTCACCCCTTAGGATCGATGACAATATTTGATAAACGTGTTGCTGAAATATACACAAAGACTAAGAATTAGATGTTAGCGGAAGAGACTGACACACTTCTCAGATGATTGACAGCCTAAGGTAACCTGATATGCGCGTCATACTGGACAGGTTTTCCGCGCGTGTCTAACTCAGTTTGTGTATCGCACAGCATTATCGGTTTCACGGACAAACTTCGCGCTCAGTTTTTATACCGTTCTGCATCTGATATTCCAGTGTTTAACGACACATTTTTTGCCTATAAACACTGAATATGTCACCGGTTATTGTTGTCAAGTCACATCCAGAACCTATCTGACAGTTTAAAAAAGTGTTTTAAAATAATGTGACAGCCATCCCTGGAAGTCCTCATTGGAGGCCCGGAAGAAGTGAATGGCCGTTCTGCTCCACTGGGTGATTCCCAAGCGATACACACGGATAACAACACAAATGAACGAACCTAGGAACTTCAGGTTTGGTGGAGAATGCATCACTTCTCAGCCGATGGGTTACGACTCGACGGTTCATCATTTCCTACATTTGTTAATCCACGTGAGCACCATCCGACGTCATTGTGAGGTGTCAATCCCGATGCCCTACATGGAGTACTCAACAGGCCACTTTTTCTCTCTAGAGCTTCAGGAAACGTCATCTAGAAACTCACTACCGATGAGCACCCCTCAGTAATTTAGTTCGAAAGCTCGTATAAACCACTCGTTTCAAGGTGGCCTTCATAGCGGACCGACATTAGTTGGAGTTCATGAACTGCCTAATTTGAGAGACCCGGATCTAGGGTGAAAAATGTCATCAGTAACTCAACCCTAAATTGCCGTTGTGTCTTACGGAACAATTTTTTAACCTTCATATATCGCTTCTGCGTCAGTTTGTAGAACCTTGATAAAAAGACAAACCTAATTTTACCTATTGTTCTTTCGAGTGCTTTGTCTGGTGCCCACGATATATAATATAATAAATGTAGATACGCATTTGAAGGGCTAACAAAGTGACAACAGCCAACAGCCTTTGCTCTGTGGTTCATTTTCAACCACTTACGAAAGTCACCCCCAAGACAGTGGTACCCAATTAGATATTTCAATTGTTCAGTGCCTCTGATCACCTCAGAAATGACCACTAACGCAGGGTGCTTTAGGAGGAATCAGCACCAGTTTACAAAACGTGTCATTCTAGTACATATGGTGAGCGTAAGTGACAATGCTACCTCTGGAGAAGCATATAAGCGTGAGCGTGTGTCACATCTTTGCTGAAAAGTTAAACAGTTATTATGTTCCCCAAAAATGCCCCAAAGCAGTATCCTCTATGAAGTTCCCGCAGGATGCCTACAACTTGAGGCCATAACCAAGAAAACTACAGAAAACATTTTCGCGGTCCGTGACTTCCGCGTTCTCAGTATCTATCCAAGTGACCTAAAAGATTATGAACCAATAGCTGAAAAGGTAAATAAGAAGAAAATCCCAGGACATAAGGATAAATCTCCTTCACTTGATATACCATGAAAAGAGGCTCTGTAATGGACCTAACCTAAAGAATGTGTTGAAAGTGAGCAACAAGATCATCACAGACCCCAGGAAAACATGTGAAGTACAAAGCGAAACGCTCGCCTTTTCCTTAGCCGGTTGTAATTGCAGCCTTGTAAGAACTAGCGGGTGGTGCGCATGAAATCATGGGGGTTGGACGCCATCTGAATAACGCACGCGATGCAATAAAATCACTGAAATCCTCTCTTAGTAAGAGAGTAGATGGGATACATGGCACCCTAATTAACAATGGCAG